CTGCCAATGCAGGGGACACGGGTGCGTGGCCCGGTCCGGGAAGACCCCACATGCCGCGGAGGGGCTGCGCCCGTGAGCCATGGCCGCTGAGCCTGCGCGTCCGGAGCCTGTGCTCCGCAATGGGAGAGGCCACAACAGTGAGAGGCCCGCGTACCGCAAAATATAACAACAATAATAAAAAAGAGTTCTTTCCAGAAGACAAGGATGCAAGGACTTAAAGAACTGTAGTGGAAATTACAACAAAATCATGAAAGTGGAAAGCGGATGGACAAGTAGCAACTCAGCAGCCCTAAGAGTGAAATGCTCCACCACCAGCGAGAAAAGCTGAGAAGCACTCCAGTTTGCTTCAAAACTGGAGAAAGGGTAGCAGGCTAAAATAAGGTTAGCAGCCTTACTTCCCGGATGCCCTTCCCACCTCCTGGCTGTGGTGCTCTGGCCCACAGTCTCTGCCTAAGCCCAGCAAGACTGGAGACTGATTCTTGGGAGAGTAGATAAAACAGGTAAGTATTTGGACTGTGAGAGCACCAGAACCTTCCCCAAAGTGAAGAGGATGCTAAGACTCCAGCCAGATGTCTCCCCAACACTGGCAGCTGGACCCTTTCCTCAGCGCAGGGTGCTGCCTGATGACCACCCTCTGACCAACCCAACAGGAAAAGACCTCGTATGTGGTCCCAGTGAAAAACTCAAAAGAAACCAGTAACAGTCAAAAGACTGCCACTGAGGAGCCTAAGGGGATGGGTAGAGGGCGCTGAGAGATAGGGGACCACTTATTTTACAATAAGTATTTTAGTATTCTTAGATTTAAATTACGTGCATGTATTAGTATAAAGATAGTAATACAATTTTTATTTGAAAGGACAGATGACTATAATTATGATTTTTAAAAGAACAGCGTGACTTCCTCTAGCCGATACTTCTATATATTCTAAATGTACATTTAAAAAGATTTAACGTTGATTAAAATAAGAGGTCAATGATAGATAAGTAAGACCTAAAACAGAATCAGACCCAAAAGCTAGTCACGATCTTAAAATATAATAAAGGGAAGACCACAACCCATTGAGGAAAGGATGGACTGTTTAACAGATGGTGCTAGAGCTGGCTGAGGAGGAGAAGGTGCTGTAAAACAATTCACATCCATGTGCTAATATAGAACTAAATGTACAAGTCTAATATATTTCCAAAATTTTTGTTTAATTTACCTCACGTCTGTTTATATTTTCAAACGTAAATATTTACAAGGAAAAGTCATAATGGACAAGATGGAGAGAGCTGACTACATAAAAGTAAAAATATCCTGTTGTTTGGAAAACACCATAAAGTAAATTAAAAGACAAATAACGAGCTGTGGAGGAAAAGAAAAAAATTACAAATATGATAAAGGCACAATGCTCTTTACATTAAGAGCATATTTATATTATATGCTCTTTATATTAAGAGCATATGTTATATAATATATATAATATTTAATTATACATATATTATCTCTTTATATTAAAAGATATTTTAAATCGTTTTTTAAAATCATCATTTAACAATAAAATGGACAAAGTACCTGGACAACTCTCAGAAGGCAAGATGAACAAATAAAAAGCAAATTACCAATTTCACTAGTTACCAAAAAAATATGAATTAAAATAAGACATTTTTATAGAAGATTAGGAAAGATTAAACACTGGAGTGCTGATACTATGGAAAGACCGTTCAGTGTGTAAGGGCATCGACGTGTTCTGGCATAAGCAATTTGGCAACAGGCCTCAAGAGTCATAAAAGAGTTCACCTCTACCCCAGGAATTCTGCTATAAATCTAGCCTGAGCAAGTCAGAAACAGTAAGACTTTCAGACAAGGGCATGTACCCCAGCTCTGCTTGTGTGTCTGCTATTACTTTCTGAGCCTACATCCTTTGCCAGACTGTTGAAGACCTTCCTCTATCTGGTTCATTCCATCGCTCCAAAACTCTATGTTGCCGGCACAATTATTACCCCCATTCTATGGATAAAGGAAGCACAATCAAATAATTAGGTAATTAAGGTCACTTAGATCCGAAGTGGCCAAGCTACGATTTGCAACCAGAATTTAATATCATACCTCCAAACACTGAAAATGGAAATATGTCAAAAAAGAGAAAACTAGCTAAATAAACTTTGCCACACCCATCATTAAAAATCTTATTTTCAAAGAAGATTTAAGGGCATAGGAAATGTCTGCGATATATTAAGCGAAAAGGCAGCATTTAAAAATACAAATGAAATTAAAGTGCCAACTTTGCTTAAAAGTATATATACGCAGACAAATAAAACGGGACAAATGGAAGCATATCATCCCATTAACAGTTGATTATTTCTGGATGTACCTGTGATTTTTATTTTTTTAACTTTTTTTGGTAATTCCCAAAATGTCTACAACAAGAAAAATGGCTTTTCATTTTAAAATGTTTAAAAACCATAGAAAGAATAGAAATTCTCAACTGTAGGTGCTTAGAAGGCCTCAATTTTTAAACACGGAATGAAAAGATTAGGTGAGCAGTTACTGCCTTAGCTGCACAGCATTACTGTTGAACTACAAGGTCCATCAAACGAGAGGATTTTCCACTATTATTTTCTTCTCAGAGTGAAATGGGGAAAATTAGCCTTACTGAATCTGCTTGATAACCAGAAAGTTAACTAGCACATAACACAAGAGTAAAGAAAACCTCTGCAATCCCCAATAGATGCTGGGAGTCACTATACTACCATAAGCATTTTGAACTGACTGATCGAATTCTGATTATTATTTACACAGTAAAGTTGGAAAGGTTTCATAAAAACAAAAGGCCTAAAGACAAGTAAATATGTCTGTACTATTTTGTGTGGAACAGTTTTAAGAGTTCCTTGCAAGGTAAACTGGAATTAGTTGGCTGCGGAATATCTGTTTTGAACATAAAAGAATGAACATTTAAAAAAATTATCTTCGTTTGGATGTGTGTGTTGGGGAAGGGAAGGAGTGGGTGAATCTGTAGAAAAACTGTGCCTTTCCTTTGTTATTTGTATAACGTTAAAAGTGGTTTAACTTTTTGCAAAGAATCATGGCAAAGCACTTTCTAGGAACGAAATAATTTACAAACTGACAATGACATTTTTGGGCCACAAATTAGCAAAGGTTTTTGCATGGATACAGGATTATATTTCACTTTTAAAATTTCTTAAATATGTCTTTGGAGTTTAGAAAAATGATGCATATACTTCGTAGATTTGTGTGCCCCAAAGAAAAAACATTTTTTAAAAAAAGTTGCTTCCACCTCTTTTGGAACTTTGTTACACAAGTTCTTAGTGCAAAGACTGGTAAAGGTAGAACAGCAGAGCTGCTAGCATTATCACTCCATACAACAGCATTAATAAATAATTCTGAAATTACTTAGAAAGAAAAAGTGGAATTGCGTGAACTCACCCTTACCTGAGCTGAGGCCAAGAACTGAAAAGGGTCATTCAAAATCTTTAGAAAAGTTAGAGTCCTATTCAGAAAACCAAAGGTAGACCCGTCCACTTCCCCTGGAAGACCCGTTGCTGTGGTAACCTGCAGTCACCCCTCAGAGTCGGTACGTGCTGGGGGATGGTTAAGAGGGGAAACGGGGGAGGGAGGCTGAGAGAGGGTTAAAAGAAGATGAAACCCCTTGGGTGCGGCAGGGGTCAGGAAGGTGGGCTTACTACTAGGAAATTCAACACGCCCAAAAGAAATTCAAAACACCAGTTAGAACAATGTCTGGACGCTGGAGTCGTATTATACAGTTCAGCTAAAGTTTGAACCATTAGAGGCGCTTCCCTCCCTCCCTCCCCGGCGGGAACAAACCACTCTTTGTGAGTTTCTGTCTATGGAAAACGAAGCCAGAGTTTCGTCTCATCAGTTACAAACTGAATGCTACTTCGCAAAACTAAAATCTTGACTTTCTTAAATTAAACCTGTTTCCCAAACTCTGCTGCACTACTGGAATCACCGAGGGAACTTTATAAACTACACACCGTGTTTTAATTGGTCTGGGGTGCAATTTTGAGCAGAGTTTTAAAAGTCTCCAATGATCCTCTTGTGCAGCCAGTTTTGGGAACTACAGTACTCTAAGAAAGGAAAAAAGAAAGCACAGTTATCTCCCTTTGTCTTTTTACGGCTAATAATAGAAATTAGCTGGCTTTCTCCAAGCACACACAGGACAATAGGTTTCTTGATAAATAGGAGTCCCCGGTATGCCCTAACAATACTTTCTTTGAGATTAAAAAAAAAAAAAAACGGGCAACATAAGCCCTTTCTTCCCAAGAGAGCAAATATCCTTCTTACCGAAACACCAAACTTACACATCTATTTTAAGAGCGAATTGGCAGTGAATACAGCTCAGAACTTGGAGGACGAGCTCCAGGACCAGAAGGAAACTGAACCCGCAGAAGCCCACCAGCATTCGCGGGGGTCCTGCGGCCACCAGGGCTGGGCGAAGGCCGGGGTGTCGGTCGGGCCCCGCAGGCTGCGCCCCAGTAAAGTTGCTCCGGGGAACTTTGCTCCCGTTTCCAACCCGCGCCTCCCCGGGAGAGAGGCGCGGCCCCGCCACCTGCTCGACGCCTAGGCTGCTCGGCCGCGCCCCCTCCTTGGACCTCGGCCACCTCCGGGGGTCGCGCACTCAACGAGCGCCCGTACTGCCGGCAGGAGCCTCGGGGGGTTCGCCTCGCCCCTCCCCGGCGTCCTCAGCTGCAGCTAGCCCTGCCCTCGGGCCCGGACGCCAGGACCTCCGCGCGGGGCCAGCACCGTCCCGCCTGGAGCTCTTCCGGAACCCCACCCGCGCGGCCAGCGCCTCTCGAACCGGGACGGGGAATCCGGGCGCCCCCACAACCCCTGTCCCGACGCCGGCCGGCAGCCCCGTCCCTGCCCAACCAAGCTCTGCCCCTCCGGCCCGCGGCCGGGAGCGCGCCCCTGGCCCGGCGGTCCGACGCTGCGCACGCGCGGAGGCGCCCGCCCGCTCGCTCACGGTCCCCTCACTCACCGCTCGCTGTCCTTGTCGCCTCAGGCAGCGCCCGCCGTCTGCTCTGCTTACTGCTCGCTGCCCCGACCCGGTGCCCGCTCTTCAGGCCCCGGCCCGGGCACTCGGGGAACCAGCGCCCGGCGGGCTGGGCGGGCACCCGCACGCAGGGCACGCTCCGCGGGGCCGCGCACGCGCGCACCCGAGCGACGGGAGGGGCGGGGCCGAGCGAGCTGCGCGGCCGAGGCGCCCCTGTATACCGGGCATGCGTAGTGCCTTTCCCTTCCTAGGGTCCGGTGGCGTAATGGGCTGCGACCCTGGACCTGTGAAACGTAGGGAAGTGGAAGAGGGCCAAAAGTCACCCTTCGCTGAGAAGCAAGTTCGCTCTTGTCCCACAAGTTGCAGTCTTCTCTATCATTCGTCAATTAAGGTGTTAAATATTTATTGAGCACCTACTTTGGCAGAGCCTTTGTGCAGAACACAGGGCATCCTCAGGTAATGGTGAACCGATTGCATTTGGCTTTGGGATTCCTTTTCGGGCACTGAATCCAGCCCTCTCTTTGAACAGATGAGAAAAGTGCATTCAGTACCTGAAACTGCAAACCTTAGCTACACTCTTAAGCAGTTTGGGGAAGGAGAGTTGCCTCTGGCTGGGGTGATGAGAAAACTTTGAGAAGCCTGGAAGGGTAAGAGATGGAGTCAGAAGATAAGCTCACCTGGGAGAAAGGTCAACGCAAAGGCAGAAACTGCAAAAAAAAAAAAAAAAAAAAAAAAAAAGAAAAGAAAAATCAAGTAATATACGAGCTCATGAACCTTCTTGGGGACAAGTTTAATCTGAATGTGCTTTTCATAGTGAAGGGCAAAAACGGTGGGAGGAAGGGTACTTGAAGCTTGTCTGGAAAAGATTTTTGATGCTTCACTTAAAAAATTTTCAGCTTTTTTTAGTGGATAACTGATAAATACTAAAGGTACAAGGGAGAAGGGTCTGGTGTTTCTGGCGGTCTGATTAGATGCAGAATTTAGGAATATAAGGTGAAGACTAGCAGTGAAATTCTGTAGAAGTAGAAGAGTCCTGAATTCAAGTGTTGGCATCAGAAATAGAATACATGGAAACGTTTTCAGAGATTGTGAGATTGTGAAGGACAGGATTCCCTAGTTATTGTCACTGCCTGTTTGGGTGTAAAGAGTTGTTTCTCATGAGAGACACTTACTTCATTAGATTAGATCATCATCCTTGGTAGATATTTATTAGTGGATAAATTAGACCTAAATTTAAAATGTACAGCTACAATCACTAAATGCTTGTTTTAACATGAGTTTGGTTCTGGGAGAATACATTTCTACTTAATTAAAAAAAACATTAATTTGAAAGACACTATATGTGGTGAAAAATATATGGACTTTGGAAAATAAAAACCCCTTTTATAAAGTCCAGATGCTCTGAAACAAACTGTCTGATGTCATGCAAATTACTTAATATCTGTGAGCCTTACTGTGTTCGTCTGTAATGTCAGGGAGGAAGAAATTTTCCTCTCCCCTTTTAGGTTCTTCTGGCTGGTGTAAGAATTCAATTGAGACAGATTAACAGAAGAAAATCAAACAACAGTTTAATAACATATGTGCATGGCAGAGAGCCAGGAAAACTGAGTAACTCACCAAAATGACTGGCATCCTTATCTTAAATATTATCTTCAGTTTAAAGGCAAAAGAAGATGTTGTGGGTCTTGGTTTGGGACTTGAAAGGGGGAGAAGGAAATTCATATAAATGTTTGGTAAATAACTGTTTGCTGGGTCAGGCAGAGACAATGGGACACAGAGTGGACTTTGATCTCTAAGCCCTATTCCCCTACCATCCCTAGCCCATATTTTTTGCAGGTATCTCTGGTGATAGCTCTATTCCTGGAATAGGCCCTATATCTAAAATTTTTAGGCAATTAGGGGGAAGGTCAGAATTTCTTCCTGAGTCTTTTGGGCCTTGACTGTTTTCAGTTCTAAAAAAAATCTGCATACCAAAGAGACATTTTGGGGTGGCAAGTTTTGTTCCCCTACAGTAGCATGGAATCATAATATTTACCTTGTATGATGGTTAATTTTATATGTCAGTTTGGCCAGGCCACAGTACTCAGATATTTGGTCAAACATAGTCTAGATGTTTATGCGAAGGTATTTTTTTTTCAGGTGAGATTAACATTTAAGTCAGTGGACTTTGAGTGAAGCAGATTGCTTTCCATAATGTGGGTGGGCCTTATCCAATCAGTTGAAGGCCCAAATAGAAAAAGACTGACCTCCCCTGGAAAAAAAAAAAAGAATTCTGCCAACATACTGCCTCTGGACTTGAACTGCAACTCTTCCCTGGGCCTCCAGCCTGCTGGTTCACCCTGCAGATTATGGATTTGCCAGCCTCCACAATCATGTGAGTCAATTCCTTAAAATAAGTCTCTCTCTCTCTCTCTCTCTCTCTCTCTCTCTCTCTCTCTCTCTCTAGTTGAAGAACCCTGACTAATATGCCTTGCGAGGTTATAAAGATTACATGAGTTAATTATCATCTGAATCTGAAAAACGGGGATTATAATCTTTAACTTATAAGGTTATGACAAATTAAATAAAAATGGGTAAAGCACCCAGCACATGCTAGGGTCTGAATAAATGGCAACTGCTATTACTTGTAAATGAATACCAGAGGCAGAAACCAAAAGAGGAGAGAGTGTGGATATTGGCACTGTGAGATTTTCTTGGTTCACTGGGTAATACTATTAAATTTAAAAAATTGATATAGGAGGTAACACAATTTTGGTCTCCCTAGCTATGATATACCAAAAAGGTGATACATATGAATATTTTAATTATTTTCAAATAAATGCCTAATGAGCCTAAAGATAGACTCTAGCTGTACTCTTAAAACACCAGACATGCAAAGCAGTGACATGATTTCACGTCTGAACATTTTATCTCAATTTAAGTGCCAGTACAATTAACTACTTACTGCTAGGATGGAGCAACCTAAGGAGAGTTTACACTGGAAATAATTTTCAGTCTCAGAGTAGATGCATGATGTAGTATTCAATCAGTGTGTTTATTGAATCCCTTTTGGGGCAATCCTGTAGCTATTGGGAGCATGCAAAAATGGATAAGATATTCCATTTAATCTACAGATATTGCCATTTGTTATGTACTAGGCAACCTCCCTGCCCTCGGGGAATTGATCAAAGAGCCTGTGAGTCCATAGCTATAATGTAAGACAAGATGTGGCAAGCGCTTTAGGAGGGGCATAAATGATTGAGCCAATTGTACTTTGCACAGTTTGGTTTGGCACAAGCCAATGGGGTAGAGCAGCATCTTTTAAAAAAAGTTTGAACAAAGCTGGTAAATGTTAAATAAAATAACATTCTCATTCCCCTGACTCACTTGCTTCAGTTCAGAGTTTACAGTGTATAATAAGAGAGGGTGAGGCAGGAGGGGCCTTTACAAGCCATTCAGAAGTAAAAGCTCCTCTTTTCCTCGTTTCCTCTTTCTTTTTCCGTCATGGCTGTTGTTTTGTTTAAAGGAGAATTTAACTTTAGAGTTAAAAAAAAAAATAACTTAGGTAAATTCCCCTAACCTCATGAAGATTTATGAGGAGAATACATAAAAATCTAACATGACAGTAACAAAAAGTGGGGATTGGAGTTCATAAAAGGACAAGGAATAATTGAGTTGGAAACCATGAGCCAGGTGGACAGAGATGGCCATCATGTTTGTTCTGTAGCCAGGGCTGTCATGATGTGACCCCCGTTTTCCTTTTGGCTGAGAATGAAATATTCCACTGTGGATGAGAGTAAGCCAACTGTAGGACTGACAAAAGCAAGTGATTTAGGGGAAATACACAGCATTTTAGTAATTTTTAAATAATCAGGATGTTATTTTATTATAAGAATTTGTGAATATATTCATTTCAGGAGCTTTGCCACAGTGAGTGGGAAATAAATTAATCTGGGATTAAAGGAAACTCTATACTAGAAAAGGAAGAGTTTTAATAAAATTGAAAGGAATGGCCTCCAGCCATGTATGTTAATTATCATCTGATGAATAATAATGATGATAATAGGAGATGTGAAATAAGTTAAAATACATCCTGGGCCAAATTTTTTTTAAAAATTACCAACTCTGGAATGGTGCCTTGCAGAATTAACCAATGTGCTCACATTAAATGGTTTAAAATTAGAACTAATACATAGCTCTGCACTACAGATTTATACACAGCATCCTCTCTCATGATTTTTTTTTCTCCATGATTTTTTAAAATTAATGCTATTCAAAAGAATTCAACCTGGTAAGTATCACAAGTAGAATGTTGCCTACTCTGTAAAGAGAATGGCAATATAAGTATTTCTTATTATAAGAATATTTGATCATGAAAAATCAAAATATAATATAAAATGGCTAGCAGGCACAATATCTGTTATTTTTTCCAGTTCTACCTCCTTTTAATATTTTATCCCACTGACAAAATATCACTGACACACAACTTTTCAGTAAGATGACTTTTGCACATTTTAATTATACCTGTAGTTTTAAATCCTAAGCAAACGTTCCATCAGTATGACATTTAAAATATTAAATTGAGTATAATCATAAAAATTAAATGCATGTAAATTATTTTGCATAAGCAACGACAAAAACAGTGTGACAAACCCAGTACTGGGTTATAAGAGGGTTGTTTCTTTAAAAATGAACCTCCTACACTACAGAAAATTATATCCAGTTTTCCAGAATGTAAACACATACTTCATTAAGCAAGGTTTTGTAAAGTCACATGAATATTAAAATTATTTATATACCTTATATTCTAGTTTAATGGGACACTCTAGGTCAGTGCTAAGAAAGAAATGTTAGCCACACATTTGAGCTACATATGAAATTTAAAATTTTCTAGTAACATTTTAAAAAGTAAAACCAGGTGAAATGAACTTCAATAATGCCTTAATCCAGATATTCAAAATATTATCATTTCATCATGTAATAAATATAAAAAATTATTAATGAAATATTTTACATTTGCTTTCATACTACATCTTCAAAATCTGGTTTGTATTTTTCTCTTACAGCTCACCCTAATTCAGACTGCAATTTCAAATAATTAGTCGCCACATGTGACTAGTTGCTATCGAGCTGGACAGCACAGATCTAGGACTAGGTTGT